CCCCTCCTCCTCCTCCTCCTCCTCCTCCTCCTCCTCCTCCAATTTGCATCCCTGCCCTCCTCCCCTCGTCGCTTGAGACTCCTTCCCCCCTCCTCTTCTCGGCGGCGAGCGAGGGGGGGGAGGGCGAGGAAACCTTCTCGGAAGGCGGCGGGGCTTCTCAGAAGCCCTCGCGCCTTCTGAGAAGCACCCTCGGTCTCAGGGGAAGGCTCAGACGACTTCTCGGAAGGCTCGGGGACTTCCGAGCCTTCTGAGAAGGCCCGCCCCCTCTCACTTCCCCCCCCCCCCGGGGCTGGCCGCCGAGCAAGGTCACTGCCCGCAGAAGGCCTGGACCCGCCGAGGGGGCTTCACGATCCGCTGCATCGAGGCAGACGCGTGTCTGCTGGACTTCCGCGAGCCGTGGGGCTCGCTCGGGGAGCCGCCGCGTGGCCCTCGGAGGCACGAGCCTGGAGTTCCCAAGCGCGGGGCTGGAGCTCCCAGCCGCAGGCGCGCGCCGCGTCGCCGATGCGTCGGCGATGGCGGGCTGGATGGAGAAGGGGCTCCACATCGCGCCCTACGGGCGATGCGTCGCCTGATCCTCCGACCCAGACTGGGAGGTAGTGGAGCGTCTCGGGCCCGAGGGCCGTCAGGGAGCAAGGCGGGATCCGAGGCGAGAGGAAGAAGTCCCCTGGAATGGGCTCGAGGGGACCGGGCCCCCCAGGTCCCAGGTCTCGGCAGACCGAGCCGCAGAACGTCAAGGGGGGTCGAGGGGCAGGAGGTGGGAAAGCGATGAGATTGAAGGGCCCTGGGACACACTAATAATAAATACACACAAATAAAAAGATACCCCATGTTTCCCTATATCTTCTGGGTTTCTGTCTTCCCTCCCACTTCCTATATTTTCCAATATTTTCCTGGGAATCGACGATTCATGGTGTCTGTGTGTTTTTTCCCCTCTTGAGAGAATGCCGACAACCGTTGCCCTCCTCTTCCTCCCGCGGGGGGAGGCAAGTGCGAGGGGGGGCTGTGCAAGCGAGAGGCGAGGGGGGGCAGGCAGAGCGATCTGGAGGGGAAAGGGATGATGAGGTGAGCGACGATCGAGAACGGGTCTTACGCGAGTTGACGCTGCAACCTTACGCGGTGCCTTGAGCGGGCCGCCAGCGCGGCAAGCCACAGTGGAGACGAGGGCGCTTACGCGCGACCTTACGCGAGCAACTTACGCGCGAACGTCGGCGTAGTCGAACCCGTTTTTGTTGCGTCGCTCAGGTGTGAAGGAGGGGAGGGAGCGGAGGGGAGAAGAGCGAAGGGGAACGGGAAACAGTGAAGGAGGGGGGGGGAGGGCCGCGGGGCCCGAGAACAAGACGGGGAGAGAGGGGTAGCTTCACCGAGGGTACCTCACGGATACAGTTGCGCAGACCGCTTCTCCTGCTCCTCCATCTCCTCAGCAGGGCTCGAGCCAAACGCTAAACAGCGTCTTTCATGCTCGTATCGTTTTCGTGGGATTTCGCTCTGTCTTCGTTCCGCCTTTGCTGCGAAATGACATACAAACAAAAAGGTCCACGAAATCGCCAAACCACAGTTTATGTCGTGCCCTGCTCCTCAAACCCTACTCCCCCTCCTCCTCCTCCTCCTCCTGCCGTCCGTGCGACAACTTTAATGCGTTCAAGTCCGCTGGGGACTGGGCCTTGACTCGACTGACGGCGCAATGGCTTCCCCGTTCTCCCCCCCTTCACCGAGGTCCTCCTCCCCCTCCACCCCGCCCCTCCCCCTGCCCCATCCCTTCCCTGGGAGGGGGAGGGCTTCGATGGGCCATTAACGCCTCAAGGGTTCTGGCGGTGGCCCGCTCCCCTTCCTGCTCCTCCTCTTGGCCGGGACGAAACTTTTTTTGGTCGGCGGGTCGAGAGCGGGCCTCTTCCCGTTAAGAGCTAGGCGGGGCGCGCGAAGCACTAATTGGGGTGACAGGGCGCGGGCGGGCGGGGCCTGGGGGCGGCCAGAGGGTGCGGGGTACAGGCGGTGCCGAAGAGCTTGCACAAGAAAAGGTACGCTTTCGACAGGAGCCGGGGGCCAGCCGAAACAGGGCGCGGGCACAAGGGGGCGGCAGACCGCCTGCCATGTGCAGGACACTCCCCATGCACCTCGAGATGCCAGGCGAGCCCGGGCATCGACGAAGGCGCTGGGCAGCGGGGCCGAAAGCAGCTGCGCGTCGCAGTCCCACTCCCCATGGTGCCATATCTCGGCGGTGGACAAACCTCCCTTTAGTAAACCTCCCCTTAGTGAAAACGGCCTGGGACCGAAACCGATGGACCTAGACCCGCAAAAATGACGGCCGCGACGCCCTCTCGCGAACCGAAAACGGCCAATTCCTTAATCGACGTGTCAGGGTAGGAGGTCCATCCACCTCCGAATATCCACCTGTCGAAACCCGCAGACCCTCCTCGTCGGCCAAATGTAAGGCGCAGCGGGGAACGTTGACACCCCCACTTCCTACTCCTGCACGGCGTTCCTCCTGTTGTTCGCCACCTCCCCACGCATGACCAATAAGCATCGAACTGGAAAATCTGATCGAACCGGACAGTGCGCCGGATCGAGATCGAAATGCATCTGCGCGGAGTCGGAATCGCATCGGATAGGGTGTGCCAGGACGCACAACAACGCCAGGCAAGCATCGAGCCACGTCGGATCGCTGCACAATCCAACTCGAAACGGATCGAGCCCGCCAAACTCGAGATCGAATCGGATCGGTTGGATCGCAATGGACCCTGCCACGCCCTCGTCCCCTCGCGCCCCGCCCCCCCCTCGCATGCTTCCTCCTTTTTGGAGTCATGGATGCTCTGCGCGGATACCTGGGACCCACTCGCCTCGCAAACCGATGATGCTCACCAGTAAATGTGCGCGTGTTGCCGATTCGTCCCCTCCCGAGACCTCCGACGACTCGGTGTGTTCGAGCCGCCGTGGAATCGTCGACTCCCTGCCTGGGGACCAGCTTCTCATCCCGAGCTGTGTTTCGACAACCCTGGGGCCCAAAAACGGCACCAGGCCATCGCCAAAGGCCTGGGCAAAATCTGTTGAAAATCTATCCGCGGGCTCATCCCAGTCCGTCCTGGCCAGGACTTGGAGACGGAACCAACTTTGGCCGCGAGAAGATTCCTAGAAGCCTAATTAGAAACAAAAGAGTTCTGATCACCGATCCAGGATCATCAAAGATCCTCAGAAGTCCGCTGGGGGGTTTGCCTCTGTCGCACCTCGTAGACATCCCACTCGCCCTCCCGACCCCCCTGGAGCAAGGACGCTGGCGGCGGCGGTCCAGCGAGGATGCTAGAAGATCTCAACCTCCACTCCAGCCGGCACCACGACGTAGAAGCAGTAGCTCTCGGACGCGAGGAAGTCGCTGTTCGTGGCGTGGACCGCCTGGACGCCGGCGTCCCCGTGCACCATGGATGCCAGGCCGCGGTCCAGCTTCCCCTGGTTCGCGAGCTCCTGCAGGTGGCGCGCATGCTCCCTGAACATGTGGCAGTCGACCTCGCCGGCCGGCCGGACGTCCTTGGCCGCCACCCTGGAGCGCGCCTGCAGCCACGCCACCAGCGACGCGTGGCGGTCGTCGTCCTCGAGGACACTGGGCACGTTGCGCACGCGGGCACAGCCAGCACCGACGTCTACCTCGATGACAAGCCGCACACCCTCAAGCAGGATATCCCTGGCATCGAAGAGGTTGAAGAAGACTGGCGCCTCGTCCCCCGCCGGGCTGTCCAGGGCGCCTCGGGGCGGCGCCCGAGCGCCGCCAGGCCCAAAAACGACTCCTGCTTGGCCTGCCTTGCGCTCTACCGCGACGCCGACCTCGAACAGGTGGGCCGCCTCCGCGTCCGAGCCGCTGAGCATCCGGAGCTCCAGCCGGAAGATGCCCCCGCTCGCGGGCGACATCAGGACATCGGAGGCCAACAGCTGCCGCGAGGCGCCCAGGATCTGGTCCTCTCTCGCGGCATTCCGCCAGCGCAGCCACGGCACGCCCTCCGTGCTGGGCGACGAAGTCCGTACATTTCCCATTGCTCCCTGGCCAGGCCCATCCTGGACTCCCACCAGCGGTGTGTAAGTGCGCCACGCCCTCCTGGCTTGGTGGCGCATACGCAGCCCGAGGAAGAGGAGGAGGATGAGGAGGAGGAGGAGAAGGAGGAGGAGGAGGGGGAGGAGGAGAAAGGGGGGGAGGAGGAGGAGGAGGAGGGAGGAGGAGGGAGGAGGGGAGGAGGAGGAGGAGGGGAGGAGGAGGAGGAGGAGGAGGAGGAGGAGGAGGAGAAGGAGGAGGAGGAGGAGGAGGAGGAGGAGAGGAGGAGGAGGAGGAGGAGGAGGAGGAGGAGGAGGGGAGAGGCGGAGGAGGGGAGGGGAGGAGGAGGGGGAGAGGGGGAGGGGGAGTAGGAGGAGGAGGCCCAGGAAGGGCCTTGCCAGGGCGCAGTGGCCATGTGTACAGCCTTCGCCGCCCGACCTCCAGCTGCTCCCGGTGGAGCGCGGAGTGGTCGCCGAAGGCGGCCGTCGTGCAGCTGCCGTGGCGGGCCACGGCGCCGAAGCTGGGCGCACGGACCAGGGTCGCCTCGAAGAGGGGCTCCTCCTCGGCCTCCTTTGCGAGGAAGCAAGGACGAGGACAGCATCGGGCGAAGACGCATCGAGAATCCCTTAGGAGGCAACTACTGGGAGGTTTTCGTCGGAAAGATTAAGGAGGATTAAGCCCCATTTGGGAGCTGTTACGCCGGAGTGGGCCTCGGACTAAACAGGATTAAGCGGGATTAAGCGTGATCAAGCGGGATTAAGCCGGATTGAGCGGGATTAAGCGGGGTTGAGCCGGATTTCGGACCAGGGCGAAAACAGAATTTGACCTCCCAGGAGTTGCATCCGAAAAGATGCATCGAGAATCCCTGAGACCCGGCGGCTCTGGAAGATCTGACGGGCGCCGCGGCCTTCCCAGAGCGTTCCGGAACGCCCAAGCACCGACTGATCCTCGTCCCAGCCCCGCCCGATCCTCCCCCAGACCCAGACAC